AATTTCCAACATTTCTCCATCGATTTGGCCAACCACCGAATACCGAACACCTTGAGGGACCGGAGGACTTTCATCATCGCCTGTACCTGCATTTAAACACAAAGTTAGAGCAAACATGTAGCAAACACAATGTCGGCTACGTCATAAAAATGCACAAAACACCTGTCAATCACATGTATCAAAATTAGAATTTTCAAGCAACATGACACCCATTTGGAAGCATATAGAGCCCTATCTCTTCTACATCTATCTCTAGTCGAATGATAGTCATGCAAATCACAAAGATCAGAAATAGGCAAATATTCAACAATTTACTCATGCACTACAGCATCATCACCATGATTATCAAGCACATTTATAGATAGAATATCAGGAAGAGAGTTATCACCAGGCACAATGGGCACATTTTGCACATATTCATCATGCACATCGACATTTTCAGCATTTCCAGCATGTTGATTTTCAATTTCAGCATGCATAGGTGCATTTTCAGCAATTTCAGCAGGTACATTATCAGACACAGCACGTTCGGTTTCAATTTCAGCATGCAAATTTTCAACATTATCAAAATCACTTAAACCACTCAATTGCTCCACCGCATTTGGAGCATTTTCAGATTCATCAGGTAAAGGAGCAAGCAAAGAAGCATTTAAACATGGCATTTCAAATTCATTGAACACAACATCACGACTTATCACGACTAAAAGCCGGGTTCACTTCTAAGCCACAATCTATAACCTTTAACACCTTCATGATATCCTAAGAAAATACATTTCATTGACCGAGGTTCAAGTTCATCACGTTTCATATAACAAGATGCAGCACAATCGAAAACACGCAAGTTTGAAAAATCAATTTCCTTTCCCGACCAAACAAACTCAGGACACTTACCATTCAAAGGCACAGAAGGAGAACAATTAATCACATGACACGCAGTCAAAATAGCCTCACCCCAAAACTTCTCAGAAAGCCCAAAACATGTAAGCATACATTTCACTCTTTGAAGCAGAGTTTTATTCATACGCTCAGCAACACCATTATGCGGAAGCATATAAGGCACACTTCTATGTCTTTGAATACCATATTGAGCACATAATTCATCAAACAAATTATTGCAAAATTCAAGTCCATTATCGGTCCTCAAAACTCGAATTTTCTTACCTGTTTGATTCTCAATTAAGGTTTTCCAAATTTTAAACTTCTCAAACACATCAGTTTTGTTTTTCAATAAAAACACCCAAACCTTTCTCGAAAAGTCATCAATCACAGACAAAAAATATCTATTTCCACCATGAGTCAGCACACTAGCCGGACCCCAAACATCAACGTGCACATACTCAAGTATTTCAGAAGAAGCAGGTTGTCTAGCCACAGAAGAAACAGGGAAACACACTCTTGATTGTTTGCCAAGCACACAAGAATCACAAAATGGCACACAAGACAATTTCTCACATCCAAAAAAGCCATTTTTATGCAAGATCTCAAGACCCCTAGAACTTATGTGACCTAAACGCTTATGCCACAAATCAGTTTTGTCACCACAGACATCATTCACGGGTTTTTGCATACAAAATTCAGCAATGCAAACATACAAGTTCAACTTTTTAACAGCTTTGAAGATCACCAAAGAACCCTTCAAAATTTTCATAACACCATTTTCCCATTTACCCTTTAAACCATCATCTTCTAAAGCAGCACATGATATCAAATTTTGGCACAAATTAGGGACATGCCTCACATTCTTTAAAGTTAGAATCAAATCTCAAGCAAATATCACCAACACCAACAACTTCACACGATTTCTCATTTGCCACAAAAACAAATCCATTCTTCACATCTTTGTAGTTCAAAAACAAATGTTTGAAAGGACATATGAAACGAGCATGCAGAATCAACAAGCCATTCAGTTTCACAAAGACAAAGAGAACGCACAGGATTCACATTATCATGCATATCAGTCACATAAAACACATCACCATGGTTTTCACTACTAGATGCCATATTCGCATGATCATTATGTTGGTTTTGCTCAGGATTAGGGCAATCATTCATGTAATGACCAATTTCACCACAATTATAACACCTACGGTTTTTCAGTCGAGATTTCGACCTACTTTTCCACGTACCCTTCTTTTTGCCAAAATTTTGATCGGCTAGAGGTTTTTCATTTTGAAAACAATTTTGAGGCCTTCCCCTCACAAAATTAACCTCACCGACATTCCCATTACCCCTGTTGATTTTTAAATCAAGCTCTTTGCTTGTTAAACCATTCACAACAGTTTCAAGATTCACATTATCTCTACCATACTTAATAGCAGATTTCACATCACTGTAAGAATCAGGTATAATCATCAATATGCTCATCACCGGTCAATTTAATATCCTGAACAAGTTTAGTAAACACATCAAGATTCTCATCAATATCTTTTGAAAGATCAAGTTTAAACCGGAAAATTTTTTCAAGCAAGAACAATTTACTCGGCAACGAAGTTTCCGTGTACAGTTCTTCTAATTTTTCCCACAGATATTTAGCACAATCAAGTTTACCAACTTTCCTAAGCACAGAGTCAGACAAATTCAGAATAATTGACGAATAAGCAAATTGATCCATTTCGGCAATTTTATCTTTAGGCACATCGGGTGAAAACGAGCCTTCAACGGCTTTAAACACTCTTTGTTGAATTAATATCCCTTTCATTTTTTGTTGCCAAATTAAAAAATCAAATTTCCCGTCAAACGGGGCCAAAATTAAAAGCCGGAAACGAAGCCATTTTCACAAAAACACACCAGTTCAAATAAGAAAATAGCAGCAAAATCACAACAATTAAAACGCAAAGAATTCAGCCCAAAATCAGATTTTTCAGCACCTAAAATCGCACAGAAATCAGCACAGATTAATATTCAGCACGATAAACGCGTAGTTTTCAGCACCAATTAATTTACAGCAATTTTACAAGCAATTTTCAGCAAAATACACAGCAACAAATTAACACAGAGTCACAAGAAAATAAATATAACAACAAGAGATATATAATGAGGCACCTAGACTCAAAAAAATAAAGGAAAAAACAGCAGGGAGCAAATTTCACCGAAATTAAGCATAATACAGCAAAAAATACACAATTTAATGCTCGTACAAATGAGAATAGCCACAGGCTCAACAAAACAAGGATAAGCACACATTTAACACATAACACATGCTTTTCTAACCTAGTGTTCTAGCAGCTAGATCCCCAACAAGCAATCCCCGCCAGGGGCTACAACTACGAAAGCGGTAAAAGTGGAGTTCAAGCCAATTTACCAGAGCGAGCCCTACGTGTTAGGTGCTCGACTTACCAGCGCGGTCACGGGACGACTCACGCTCTGATACCACTGTTGTGTGGCCGTCCCGGTCGCACCGCTCTCGTCATTGGCAGCGGAAACTTCGTCTTGAACTCGACCGACTCGCTCGCAGCCCCAGCCCCTTTCAAGCTCCGGGCTATGCTGCTCGTCTACAGGCCACCCGACTGTACCCTTGCCTTCATTTTTTTAACTACTTTTGCCTTCATTTTTTTCACTACCCTTGGCTGCATTTTTTTACAACCCTCATTATATGTCTTTTCACTCATTTCACTCTCACTTGTTTCAATGCTCTCTGCTTCACTCTCATTTTTTTTCTCCAATTCTATCCAACCACCTTCATCATACTTAGAAGTAGGCACAAACCTACCTTCATCCATTAGATCAATGTGAATGTCCATCAATCTATTAGTATAGAAACATTTAGCCCAATTACATAAAGTTTCATCATCTTTCAGCAAGTTAAATGTAGTACCCGAGTTGAAATAATACCTTATATTTCCTACACAACCAAATTGATCACTAAGACAATCCAATGTATCAACACCCAGTTTTGACTTCTCTAGCCAGTCAAAAATCATACTAGAACCCCCAATATAATGGTCAATTGGAGAATGCAAAAATTGACCTCCACACCAAAGTTGGATAGTTAAGTGATCTCTACTTTCTATGGAACCAAACCCAAGTCAACCAAACAACAACAAACAGAGAGAAATTAGGGGTTTTCAGATAACAACCCAATAAGCAATTGAAGAATGTATAACTGTATTTTGAATGAAATTAGGGGTTTTAACCACATTACAGTCACCTAAATTTGGGTTAGAAAAAAACCCTAATTTGTTTTCAAAATTAGGGTTTACAAAATAAACCCTAATTTATATTCAGAATAGGGTTTGCAAAAGAACCCTAATTTGTATTCAGATTAAGGGTTTGCAAAAGAACTCTAATTCGTTTTCGAAATTACGGCTTCCAAAAGAAATTTATAAGATTTGCAAAGAACCCTAATTTCATTATAATTGTACGAATTAAAATGAGCATTACATTGCACGAATTTTTTCAATAAACAAAAAAAGATAATGTCACTGACCGTATGTGGGAGGTCCATTGTGCATACGAATCTTCTTTCGGATGAACACCTTCTCAGGAATCATTTGGATTCTTGCTTCTCAATACCTGATTTCGACCTTTCAATTTTTTTGCCTTCGGAATTTCAGAGAGAATTTGAGAACGATCTTGGATGGAGGGTTTTTTTCTGCAAAGATAATTTGGGAACGCGATTGTGAGGAGAAGTGAAGTGACTGTTCATGTTCCTGGCTTTTCATCTGTTTTCCTCCATTTCCACGTGTGTCGCCACGTGGAAATGTTTTTTTTTTTTCTTTTAATTTCTGTCGGCCACGTGTAACTGAGGGAGCCAACGTGTGAAATCCGGCTCCACGTAGGCCGAAAGAGCCGTTAATGTCCATCACGTGCGTATTTCCGGGCAATTAACGGGTTTCCGGCGAGTCGGGGACGAATCTGTAACATTTTTTAAAAGTTAGAGAATCAAATTCAAATTGGATATTCAAAGAGGACTAATTGTTCAGAGGGTTAAACTTAAAGGACGAAATTTACACTTTTCTCCTATTGAAATAATAGCTCCGCCTATCCGAAGCTGGAATTGTATTCATTCTTTTATTTCTCTTCCAAAAAATTTTGATTTATTGGATAGAAATATGTTACTCTATTCCAATTTTGCCCCCACAAACACCATATTCAATCAACGAAAGCTTCATATTTCTGTCCAAAAAATCAGCCTCAGCTATTCTTCAGGCACCCAACGCATCAAAATCAGAAGAATCATCGTCACATCCCAAATCGCAGGTAAAACAAACTCTTGGGCTCCTGCTTAAATAAGGAAAAAGAACAATCCTTATGTGAAATGAGCGACTGAGGAGCCCCTTATCTCTATTTAGATGATGATCGTCTTCTCATGAAAAAGATTGGATTTTTTATTTTATTTTATTTATTATCAGTATTCTTTTGAAATGAATTTCTGTAATTCTTGAACCCATTCGCCTCGCCCCTTTCAGTTTGATCTATGAGAGAATCAAAAGCTTATAAATTTTAATATTTTATGTTTTTCTTTTTATTTTTTTAATGGGCACCTATGAAGGTTGAATAAAGTGTTGATTCAAAACCCAGCTAAGAGATGGTTGTGCCAATTAGATTTTACATAATTCCACAAATTATAGTGAAGAGAAAACCCAAATAAACAAATGTTTTACATTATCACCAGTCAACTTTTGGTGCTGCTTTGGCTTGTGATTAATCAGTTCTTTGCTGTCTCTGGTCAAAGAGATGAGAAAGAATGTTGCACCCAGTGATCCCTTGTCTGAGTGTTATGGTGTACGTGTGTTCCGATTTTCAAGCTTGGAAAGGAATATTTGAAACTTCTCCTTACGGATCTGCCATATATGTTCGGTGTTTCGTTAGCATTACTGATCAGTTGGATATTCTATAATACTATTTATTGGGGATGAGCATTTTGATTCAACATAAGCAAATCAAGTGCTTTTTCTCCAGCAGCTGCTTGGTGAATAATTTATTCGTGCAGTAGACTGCATCATCTGTGATTTGAACCATATGGGGACCAGGTCTTAGGAATCTTTTGTGTCCTGACAGTGTATCTTGTTCAAGAAATTCAGTTTTTTTAAGCAATCTATGTCATATAAAAGACATGTTGAAGTGAAAAACTTCAGGCGATCTTTGAATTGAATAACTTTGTCTTGTCATTATATCGATTGGGACTTGTTGAAGTTTGTCTAGTCTTGAGGTTGTAAGTCCAAACTCCAAAGTGAGTGTTTGTTTTACTTAATAGTATAAGTTGTGAATTGAGCTTGTAGGTCCAAAGTGAATGCTTGTTTTACTTACTTGTATAAGTTGTGAAGTTGAACTAATTATTGATTCTATCGAAGTTTTGTTTGTGTAAGTAGTGTTTGGAATCTGGAGTTTCAAGTCTCAGAACAAACCTGCAGTTTTAGTGTTAATTTTTTTGACTTCTTAGACTCAGAGTATAATCTCAATTTGATGATTTTTTTTCTCTTTGTGCTTGGCTGTCATGAGGTATGTAAATTGTTCTTGATGGTGTAATTAGTAAACAGCTTCTATATTTTGTTCTCAAACATAAAACAGAATATCTATCTCTGCCAAAATATCCTACAAGATATAGCTTCAAAATTATAGCAATGAAAAATCTTATTTGTTTCCCCTTTGGTTTTTTGTTCTGTTTTTGTGTTTTGTGTGTGTGTGTGTGTGTTTTTTTTTCTCTAAATGAAATTTTGTATCAATCATCTGAAAATACAAGGGTGTGATAAAGCCATTTTCTGCTTATGGATATACAGAAAGAATAACNTTCCTAATGAATATAATTACAATTTTTTAATCAGCTATGCAGCAGAAAATAACATTACTGAACAAGCATGGTGAAAAGCTTGTTGGTGTGTTGCATGAGACAGGATCACCAAAACTTGTAGTTCTTTGCCATGGTTTCAAATCCACAAAGGTTCTTCTAACCTCATATTGTTTGTTGGTGTTCATCCTGTCTCTATCTTGGCCATTTTTTCTAAATTCTACAGGTAACTTAGTGTGGAAGCTAGTTTGCCGGTTAATGCATTTTTTTTTTTCTAATCCTATCATGAAAACCTCAATATGTAGGAGTACATGATGATGGTCAACCACGCTACTGCTTTAGAAAATGAAGGAATCAGCGCATTTCGCTTTGATTTCTCTGGAAATGGGTAGGCCTTACACATATAGCTTATTCGGCTATTATTTCAAAATAAACATTTTGGAAGACATAGCTCTTTCCAGAGCATCCCGAATCCAAAGAGTCTATTTTTTACTTGCATTGGAGAACCTTTTCTTTTACGAAGAGTCTATTTTTTATGTGGCATGAAACATTTTCGCTAATATGCCCAAATGCATTGTAGCTTGTAGATGCTCTTACCATTGCTTTGAATATTTTTGCATGGACCAGTATAATTATGTTAAAAACGTTGCCAAAATAAATTGATTGTATTCTTTTGCATTTCTTTGTATGTTAATGACTAATTTCCAAAAATGCTTGAGTAAATGTTGCATCTGGGTATTTCATTATGCTGGAAATTGATATAGCTTATTCCCATACTGTTGCTTTTGGTGGAACAAATAGTGAAGAAGACTCGGTAAAGTATCAGTTGTGGATAATCATACATGGGCCTGAGTGCACGATAGTTATTGTCATTTATGCACAATATTTACCTGATAATTTTCTCAAATACAGCTCATGTTCCCTCATCCTTGTCATGGCTACTAAATAGGGGTGTTATTTGGGCTGGGCCGAGTAGCTCATGTTCGAGCTCGTGCTCTTTTGATAAACGAGCCAAAGACTCTTTAACAAACCCAAAATTATAAATGAGCTGTTTGTCACAAACATGCTAAACTCGGATTTTCGATCAAAACCTATGAACAAGTAACAAATAAAATAAATGATTTGTTCGTGAACGAGCTCTGCTTAGCTTATCCTTTTTTT